ACCCGCGACTTCATGCGACTCATAGTATCGTGCCAGCTCTCGTCTTGAATTCGAATCCAACCAACCATGGATCGCAGCATCCGCCTTTGAATGGAATCCAGTTTGGACAGCTGCACGCCGGTTAAGGCCAATGTGTGCAAGCCGAAAAGGCATGGTCGGCGTCACGACGGAATCAAAAAACTTCATGCGAAGTTTGATTGCGACATCTTTGTTGACCAATATACGGCGATGTCGATGGAATTTGTTCCATGCCACTTGGACCCGATGATTGAACTCAACCACGTGTCTCTGAGTCAATGAGCCACACATGCGTCGTCCCAAGTACTTGTGCGTCTGATCACCTGTGAGTGTTTCCAGCAAGCTCACCAGTAGCTGAGTAGCTACGTAAACCAACGTAGATGAGAAGGATGGGCTGGGCATTAGAAATAATGTTTCTCCTAGCGCGATGCTAGCACAGAGCTAGCGCGCGCCTAGCGCGGTTCGTCAATGTTATCACACTTTTTTTTATGTTGTATTGGCCCTGATACAGTACATGCCTATGCGAAGGAAAAAAAGCAGTGTTATTTGCAAGGAGAGAAGCTTCTTCAAGCTATGCGCGAATGGAGAACATCGTGAAGGGATGCTCTACAGTACAATAGTTGTTTTTTGTTTTTCACCGCGCCTTCTTCCGACATCAGCAACGAGTTCGACAGAGTCCACGGCAGCCACGGCGAGCGTTTCACGCGACGTGCAAGGTGGGCGCCGGCAAGCGGCTAGTTGTTGGCGGGAGGCTGCCCCGCACGTCCGCCAGGACTTCGTGCAGTTCTGGGACCACCTCTGCACCGCGGCGGTGCTGCGACGCCGGCGGCACGGTGCTGTGCCAAGAGGCGCAGGAAGGAGGCTGCTTCGGTGCTGAAGCGCCCCCCAGCCTCGATCCCGATGAAGACGAGCCACGCACGTCTGGCCCTGGAGTTCGGGGTACGTTTGGCGCCATTTGGCGCCGTTTGCGTCTGGCATGTTTGGCCGCATCCTGCACTGCGGCTGCGGGGCGGGTGTCCGCGCCTGGTCGTGCAGAGCCGCCTGGATTGACCGTGCATCGCTGACAGGCACATGGATGTGCATGTCGGCAACCCGAACGTTCCGTGTCCTCCAGCCTCCTGGCAGACGCGGGCAACAGCATGCTCAAGACGTGGCAGAGGCCGAGCGGTGGTCGCCGAGTTGGTCCAAGCGTCCGTGGCAGGAGCATGTGCGCGGAGCGCAAGGAAAGGGTAACCGGAGGGGGTGGAGGAGCAGGACGCGGAGGTGCGACGATGGCACGAAGACGGCTGGGGACGTAGGGAACGCGGTGAATGCACGGACTGCACGAGGTCCTGCTTGCGAGAGCAGCAGCGTGCGAGACGCGGGCGCTCATCAAAAGCAGAAGCGGCAGCGCGTTGCCAGCTACGTGAGGTTCCCTCTGCGGCTTGGGCTTGCTGTGGGGCCGGAGCGGCTGAGGTCTCCCGCAAAGAACTGCCGGACTGAAACGGCAGCGGAGCACGCAGCTGCTAGGGCAGCGGGCATGCCAGCATGTGGCGAGTTCAAGTTGGCGAGGAGCTGCTCGGCTTCGGCGGGGAGGCGTGCAAGCAGCGCGGGGAGGCAGTCCTGCCAACAGGCCCAGTAGGCGGCCTGCGCTCCCGCTGCTGCAGACCGCAGACCAAGCCTTCCGTAGCCGCAACTGCCGCAGCAGCTGTGGCCGGCAGCGGCGAAGCTGCCTCTCCGTAAAGCAGCGTGCTGAGACAGGGCCCAACAGCATCCAACAGCCTGATCATGCTCCCGAGCGCACTCGGCGGTGGAGTCAAGGGGGGAGCATACGCACAAAATAATTAGCTCGGGAGGAAGCGCAGAACAGCAGGAGTAGCCAGGCCGACTGCAAATCGGGTAGGGCCGGGATGCGCTGCAGCAAGGTGTTTTGCTGGCGATGCTTTCCTGCAGTAGCTGTCGCACGAAGACCGCGGACCCGAGAGAATATGAGTAAGAATAATATTAAGAAGAAAAAATAATTATTGTGATAATGATATTAAGAATGTTAAAAGTGTTAATTAATCATAAAAGCAACAATAATAACAATGACAATAATATTCTTAATAATAAGGAAAATATGTATTTGAAGCTCGCGTGTCGGCAGTGGAGGCGTGTGTGTGGGAACGGATGGAGTCTGTGTGGAACATGGTTGGGATATGGATGCTCTGTGAGATAGGATCAAAGATGCTATGTGGGAGAGGATGGCGTCGGCGTGGACGTTCACATGGTTGGCACAGGGGTGCTGTGTGGGAACGGATCATGGTTGGGACGGACGTGAACATGGCGGGGACACGGATGCTCTGTGGACACGGATGGAGTCGGTGTGGACGTTAACATGGTTGAGACTGGGTTATTTGTGGGAGCGTCTGGCGCCGGTGTGGATGTTAATATGGTTGGGGCGGACGTTAAAGTGGTTGGCACAAGGAATCACAGGGAAAAGAACGCGGGAACACCGACAGCGGATAGTGGAGCCCCAAGCGTGCGCTTGAAACTACGTCTGCTTGTTACCTCTGTCCGTGCTGGGCAGCATAATCATACGGGGCGCAAGTCAATTTTTGTGAGCCGCAAGGATGGGAAGATGCACAGCCTGGGCGCTGGTCGTACTGGCCGGGTGCATGGCGTACTCCCAAAGAAAACCAGGGCCAGGAGCAGATCGCATTTCCGGCTTACGAAATGGATTGGAAGGAGACGGAGGCATGGCGCCGGCACAAGTCAAGAGAATAACCTGGCCAGTGGCGAGGGTGTATCCTTGGTCCAAGTGGTGCAGTCGAAAGGTAAACAGTGCTCGGAAATTGGACGGCCGTTTGGCAGCTATGCGCAAGCAGCTAACGGCACGGCAGGAGTGGTGGAGTGCATACCGCTCAAAGATGCAGGATGCATACCAGAAAGAGCGAGCAAGATCCATGACGAATGTTGCATGGCTCCAGAGCGAGATCCTGGATGCAAAGCGGCAACAGCTGGATGCATACCGTCAGATGCCGCAGCTGCCGTCACTGTCACTGGCACTACGGACCGAGCCTCGGTGAGCCAGGGGGCGACAGAGGAATGGGCGGCCCTTCGCGAGACACTTGCAGCGACAGTCAGCACCTTGAGACAATAGAGTTTTTGCCTCCCACCTACCGAGTTGACGGGGCTGGCGGCGGTATTGGGTCAAGCTCCAGGGTTGGCAGCAGGAATGGCATCTACGACTCCGACCTCACCATGTGCCGAATACAAGTACAGTCGCGACACCAAAAGTGAGAACATGGGATCCCTACATCAAAACGGAGGGAGCAATGAGGAGCATAGAGACATCAACGGATGCGATTCCCGAGGCCCTCTCGGGTTGGCCTTACGGCCCGCCACCCATCAGCGACCGAAAGCAGATGGCAGACACCTGTGCCTCCAACGCCAAAGAGTGCGGTGTCCTCTTCCCCTTCACTGGAGGACAAGTTGGATGCCAACATGCAGGCTTTGAAAGCTCGCTCAGTCCTACTGCCCCTCTGTCGGGAGGCGCCGGCTGTGCGGAATACAGACGTGGAAGCTGCCCCATCCTCGACCGACA